AGTTCTAGCAAAATAGTTATGATTTTTGTCGACTAGTACACTGGAATTGGTCGAAAATAGGGCTCAAAGTGGGCAAAATCGCCGATGCGTAAACATCGTCTAGACCACTAACTTCGCGATAGCATAATTCCCTAAGTTTTCCATCAAATTTCATACTTTTGGTGTCATTATGATCGGGAAAAGATTCTCTATGTTTTCATAAGAAAAAATAATTTTTTTTTTTAAATTTGTCGACCCTGAGAACAATTCTGGGAGAGGGCCTGTCGACCCTGAAAGGGTTAAGCTACTTCAAGTCCTGAAGCCAACCAAAATCATCCATCACGAGTGTCTTTCATTCTGTCCACTGATAAAAAAAAAAACAGCAGGAGACCGGGGTTCAATTCCCCGCTGGGGAGGTAGTTTTTAAAGGACCCCAATGGAAATAAGTCATTCTATCTGACTTTTTTGGGTTATCCTAGGTTCTCTACACATATGCTGCTATGTATGATAATCTATGTAACTGAATTTGTGTATACCTGAATAAACTTACTTACTAAATCACTCTAAAATTCTTTTTAACCTATGCACTCACTGCACAGACCCCTTCTCTCATGTCTGAAGCAAAATTTACCACTTACAACATATCTGAGGGCACTGTGTTTAAAACACAGATCTATGTAAGCAACACAGGCATTAACCCTTTCTGTGGCCTTTGCCTAGAACATCACTGAGGCTAGGGTCCCTTCACATATTTCTGCCACAAGCCTAGCTCACTCAGGTAAGCTGTGAGCAGTAAATCTGGGCCTAGAGATAAGAGAACAGGTCTGTGCGGCGAGCGTGCAAGGTATAAAAAAAAACCCGTCCCCACGTGGTGCCTGATGGGAAAAGCAAAACTCTGACCATGTGAAAGGTTTTAAAATAACAACTTTGCAGTGTTTTCTCAGATGTTTTTTATGGTTTTATAAGCTGTTATTTGGTATCATTTGACAGAAATGAAGAAAGATATTATTTTGGTTGGTTTCAGGACCAAAAGTAGCTTGAAATATTCAATTTTTGCTAATTTTCATGAGGAAGGGTTAAGCCCCCCCTACACCCCACCAGTTGCTGAATGAGTTTTTAATAGGTCTGATTTGATTGGTGGGGCACCGTTAACCCTTAAACTGCCCAAACATAGATCTACATTCACTTGCGTAGCGCTCCGAATGTAGATCTACATTATTTTTACATAAGAAAGCATGTAAAATTGAACATAGATGTATGTTTGGAGCGCTATACAAGTGAACGTAGATCTACATTTGGACAGTTTAAGGGTTACCCATGAGCAACCTTTCCTGGTTATATTTTATTATCAGAGAAACAGTAAATCTTCTAATTTTGTGCGATTATGAATTTAACATGGAAAGCAAGTGTAATATACGTATAAGATTCAAGGTTCAAGGATGTGAATAATGAACAGGGGAAATGTTTTTTTAGTGCTAGTATTGTTTACATTGTTAAATTTGGACTATTTTTAAACTGGCATTTTTTTGTGTAAAATTGGCCAAATTAGCAATTTCTGTACACTTAATAGGGTAGCTGCTATTGTTGAATTGGCAGTTTCTTGTGCTCGCTCGATAGAACAAAAGGCATACTAGCAAAATAATTAAGAACGTGGTTGAATGGAACAACGGAATTGGCTCAAAACAGGCCTCAAAGTGGGTGAAATTGCTGATGTGTAAACCGTGCTGAGACCACTAACTTTGCACCTGTGTAATTCTGTAAGTTTTCCAGCAAATTCATACTTTTGGTATCATTACTTTCAGGAAAAAAAAATCTACCACCTAAGATGAAAAAAAAAAAAGTGGATACAGAAAGCAACATTAATTTTCAGGGGTTTGCACAGTGAAAGGGATAATAAAAAAACTACATGGGAGACAGTGAAAGGGATAATAATAAGAGATACATGGGAAACAGTGAAAGGGATAATAATAAGAGCATTAAATGGGAGACAGTGAAAGGGATAATAATAAGAGCTACATGGGAGACAGTGAAAGGGATACATGAAAGGGATACATGAAACCAATAATAATTTTCACATCTTTCATGCTACTCAGAAAATAAAGCATAAATAAAAATAAGTGAAATTGCGTCTATCTTTAATATAACATCAGCATTCAGAAAATGAATGCTGTATATTAGTAGACCAATCAACTGTATGTTAAACCAAGTGTTACAAACTTAAATTACTGTACCTAAATTAGTATTGTACAAGCAACAGCAAACACAGTAAAAAAAACTACTCAGCATACACATTGAAATATAACATATACAGTAGAAAAACATGCTTCCATTACTGATATTATTTTAACAAGTGCTGCTAAGTGGTGAACAAAGAAGAGCACCAAACTTACGACCAATCCATCTCCTCTACAGCCTTGGCTATTTCTGGTAGCACACCCATTTCTGCAAAGTAATGATTAAACAACTTACTATTAGTTCCAGAAAATACACATTAATTTATTTGTAATATACATACCAGCATTTTCAAAACTGTTAAAAAATACCTTATCTCCCTAACTCACCCCATCATCAGTTAACTATGTGAAAACCACACATGCTATTTTCAGTACAGTATCATGAACACATCCATAAAATAGACTTACTCTCATTATCTGTAATTCTCCCAAATTTATACTTACACTCACCCAAATGACTAAACACAAAATGTCCAATATAGTTATTGCCTAACTGATCTTTAGTTAGTCCTAAGTTTGCCTGAAATACTCTGCCAACATAGGAACCTTCGATTATAGAAACAGTGTATCATGCCAAGATAAAACCATTCCCATTGCTAAATTATACTAACTGTAATACTGTTATGTGTTTTTGTACTACCTCACTGATCTCAATCTTATTAATGATACACTTTTTAATTACCTAATTTTTATATTAATATGCAATAATGAATATTAAAATGTACTGCTCCATAACCTGTGTCAATAGAGAGTAGTCAATAATAATTAGGATTAGTCTGCCTAAAATGCCTAGGCATGCTAGTGGCTTTCTTGGCAATTAATATTTTGTAATATGTAAACCACACATAGTATGCTTTGCAAGGAAATAAAAATTTTCATTTTCATTTCATACTGTACTTCCTATTCTAAACACTTGCAACATGGCCTGAATGTCACAGTCACTCATTTACTTGGAATTACTAAACACCATATATGAAGTAGTTGAAGTTTTGGCAGTAAAGACTGAAAACCAAAACCTTGTCATTGTGGTTGTACACAAGCCTCCTGATGCAACTTCCCAACAATTCCAGGAACAGCTTTTAAAAACTGACTACTCTGGAAAATCTCCAGACTTCTGCCTCAAACTTCTTGCTGCTAGATGATCTCAACTTAAGACACTTAACCCTTAAACTGTCCAAGCAGATCTATGTTCACATGCGTAGTGCTCCAAAAGTAGATCTACATTTTTTTACACACTTTCAAACAAACAAAAAAAAAAAGTAGATCAAAGTTTTTTTTTACAAGTTTTCAAATGTAAAAAAAGAAAAGATGATCTACTTTTTTACATACTTTCAAATGTTGAAAAAACGTAGATCTACGTTGGACAGTTTAAGGGTTAAAATGGAGGTATGTGGCAAATAATGTTTTAGCAGAGATAATCCCAGAAGGCAGCTCAGATAAAAATTCACACACATGAATTATTAAAACTTTGCAACAAATTCACCTAACGCCAGCAAATAGTGGAGCCAACAAGACTGGAAAACACACTCTACCTCATCTTCACGAAATATAACAGTATCATAGACAATACACGCAGATCATAATATAAAAGTACAAACATATGTGAGCAAGGTTCCTGACCAGCATAAGGAGATCAGTTATGAGGATGCCTTCACCAAATTCAACTTCATTAGCAAAAACATACAGTGGGATCAAATCAACCATGTCCTAAATGAAACAAGCCAGGAAGATATCCTAAACAACATGGATCTGAGCCTTTTCCTCAAGTGTCATAGAGTTAATTTAGTATCTCGCTCATTTCTCGGCTATCATCTGTGTATGTCCCATCCCGCCTCAGCAGGGGCCCAATACTGGATGTTGTTTTTCCCTTAGATTTAGTATAAGTAGTATTTTGTTTTTTTTCAATTTCCATTTATAGCTTTTAGGTCTTCCTGTGATTCTTGTCTCCTGTAAGATTCCTTCAGCTTAAGTTCGACATTTGCAATTTCATAGACTAGTACTTCCCTTCGTATTTCAGATATATTGACCCCACTCAGCAGCTCTGTGACTCTTCGCCTTCGTCTGTATAGGGAACGCCTCTCTTTCTAGTTTACATTTTCTCTGTGTTTTTCTTAATGGAATGTGTCTTGAGCAGATCTCAAGAACCACAGAATTACTTTTTTAAGGCAAGCGTTCGGATTTGTGTTGTTTACCTGGAGTTTACCTGGAGAGAGTTCCGGGGGTCAATGCCCCCATGGCCGGGTCTGTGACCAGGCCTCCTGGTCACAGGCTGTTACTGCTGGCTGCAAGCAATCCAACGTACGAGCCACATTCCGGCTGGTCAGGTACCGACTTTAGGTGCTTGTTCAGTGCCTGCTTGAAGACAGCCAGGGGTCTATTGGTAATTCCCCTTATGCATGGTGGGAGGCAGTTGAACAGTCTCGAGCCCCTGACACTTATTGTATTGTATCTTAACGTGCTAGTGACACCCCTGCTTTTCATTGGGGGGATGTTGCATCGTCTGCCGAGTATTTTGCTTTCATTGCGAGTGATTTTCGTGTGCAAGTTCGGTACTAATCGCTCTAGTATTTTCCACGTGTATATAGTCATGTATCTCTCCCGCCTGCATTCCAGGGAGTACAGGTTCAGGAACTTCAAGCAGTACCAGTAATTGAGGTGTTTTATCTCCGTTATGTGCGCCGTGAAGGTTCTCTGTACATTTTCTAGGTCAGCAATATCACCTGCCTTGAAAGGTGCTGTTAGTGTGCAGCAATATTCCAGCCTAGATAGAACAAGTGACCTGAAGCATGTCATCATGCGCTTGGCATCCCTAGTTTTGAAAGTTCTCATTATCCATCCTGTCATTTTTCTAGCAGATGCGATTGATGCAATGTTATGGTCCTTGAAGGTGAGATCCTCCGACATGATCACTCCCAGGTCTTTGACGTTGGTTTTTCGCTCTATTTTGTGGAAGGAATTTGTTCTCTACTCTGATGAAGTTTTAATTTCCTCATGTTTACTATATCGGAGTAATTGAAATTTCTCATCGTTGAACTTCATCTTGTTTTCTGCAGCCCACTGAAAGATTTGGTTGATGTCCGCCTGCAGCCTTGCAGTGTCTGCAATGGAAGACACTGTCATGCAGATTCGGGTGTCATCTGCAAAGGAAGACACGGTGCTGTGGCTGACATCCTTGTCTATGTCAGATATCAGGATGAGAAACAAGATGGGAGCGAGTACTGTGCCTTGCGGAACAGAGCTTTTCACGGTAGCCGCCTCAGACTTTACTCTGTTGACTACTACTCTTTGCGTTCTGTTTGTGAAGAAATTATAGATCCATCTACCTACTTTTCCTGTTATTCCTTTAGCACGCATTTTGTGCGCTATTACGCCATGGTCACACTTGTCGAAGGCTTTTGCAAAGTCTGTATATATTACATCTGCATTCTTTTTGTCTTCTAGTGCATCTAGGACCTTGTCGTAGTGATCCAGTGGCTGAGACAGACAGGAGCGACCTGCTCTAACCCCATGTTGCCCTGGGTTGTGTAATTGATGGGTATCTAGATGGGTGGCAATCTTGCTTCTTAGGACCCTTTCAAAGATTTTTATGATATGGGATGTTAGTGCTATCGGTCTGTAGTTCTTTGCTATTGCTTTACTGCCCCCTTTGTGGAGTGGAGCTATGTCTGTTGTTTTTAGTAACTGTGGGACGACCCCCGTGTCCATGTTCCCTCTCCATAGGATGGTAAAAGCTCGTGATAGGGGCTTCTTGCAGTTCTTGATGAACACGGAGTTTCACGAGCCTGGAACTGGGGCAGAGTCCATGGGCATGTCATTTATCGCCTGTTCGAAGTCATTTGGCGTCAGGATAACATCAGATAGGCTTGTGTTAACCAAATTCTGTGGCTCAATTCTGGGGCCTAATAGTGAATGTTGTTCTCGACTTTGATTTGGCATAAGAAAAGAAATACTTTGGGTTTCTTTCGATTTCATTTATGGCTTTTAGTTCTTCCCGCGATTCCTGACTCCTATATTCAATTCAAAGTTTATTCTCTATAAGGATTACAATGCTGAGTTTACAGAATTTGGTTATTGTGTGGTTTACATGTAGTAAAATAATAATTACAGAGTGTACCACTAGAACACCTAGCATGGCTAGGCATTTTGGGCAGACTTAGATTAATTCTTAAATTTAAAATGTTACAAATTATGAGGTAAGTTGGTATTATGGCTAAGTGACTAAATAATAGTTTGTGAGTTTAGCAATGTGAATGCTTTTGTTTTGGCACAATACATAGTTTCAGTATCGGAGTATCACAGGCCAACTTATGACTAGTTAGGATTTATTATTTTAAGCGAGATTGATATTTCTGTTTATGGTCAAATGGGTAAGTGAGTGTAAGTGTGAACCACCAGGTGGTATTCGTGTAATTAGTTGACGGGGTGTATCAGGGAGATAAGATGTTTTCTAATGGTAGTTTTGAAGGTGATGAATGTGTCTGGTGGCCCGGTGGCCTGGTGGCTAAAGCTCCCGCTTCACACACGGAGGGCCCGGGTTCGATTCCCGGCGGGTGGAAACATTTCGACACGTTTCCTTACATCTATTGTCCTGTTCACCTAGCAGCAAATAGGTACCTGGGTGTTAGTCGACTGGTGTGGGTCGCATCCTGGGGGACAAGATTAAGGACCCCAATGGAAATAAGTTAGACAGTCCTCGATGACGCACTGACTTTCTTGGGTTATCCTGGGTGGCTAACCCTCCGGGGTTAAAAATCCGAACGAAATCTTATCTTATCTTATATTGCAGTTGTAGAGTTTTCAGGTAGGGTGTTCCAGATTTTAGGGCCTTTGACATACATTGAATTTTTGTAAAGGTTTAGTCGGACACGGGGAATGTCATAGAGATGTTTGTGTCTGGTGTTATGCCTGTGGGTTGTGTCACAATTATCAAGAAAGCATTTTTGGTCAAGGTTAATATTGTAATTTAAGGTCCTGTATATGTAGATTGCACAGTAGTAAGTGTGAATGTACTGAACAGGGAGTAAGTTTAGATCTATGAAGAGTGGGGGGGGGTGTTGCCAGGGATGGGATTTAGTGATTATTCTTACTGCGGATTTTTGTTGGGTTATTATTAGCTTTAGGTGTGTTGCTGCAGTTGATCCCCAAGCACACATAGCATAGGTGAGGTATGGATAAATGAGTGAGTGGTATAGTGTGAGAAGGGCATTTTGCGGCACGTAGTATCGTATCTTGGAGATGATCCCAACTGTTTTGGATATTTTTTTGGTTATGTGTTGGATATGGGTGCTGAAATTCAGGTTGTTGCCAAGGTATAGGCCTAGGAATTTGCCCTCATTATGTCTGGCAATTAGAGTGTTGTCGATCTTTATGTTAATTTGTGCAACTCCTGCTCTGCTACCAAACATAATATAGTAAGTTTTGTCAGTGTTAAGCGTAAGTTTATTGGCTGTCATCCAAGTCGATATTTTGATCAGCTCCTCGTTAACAATGGTGTTGAGGGTGGCAACATTAGGGCGAGAGATGACATAAGTCGTGTCGTCAGCAAGGAGAATGGGGTTCAGGTGTTGGGATACGTTTGGAAGATCATTGATGTATATGAGGAAGAGCAGGGGACCAAGGACCAGCGACTCCCTGCGTATTTCAAATATATTGGCATCTTTTAGCAGCTCTGTTATTCTTTTCCATCGCCTGTAAAGGGAGCGCCTGTCTCTTTCAATTTTACATCTGCTCCTCCTTTTTCTTAAAGGAATAAGCCTTGAGCATACATCGAGTGCCACCGAGTTAAGCTGTTCTAGGCATAAGTTGGGGTCTGTGTTACTTAGTCGATCTTCCCAGCTTATATCGGTTACGACTTGGTTTACTTGGTCCCACTGTATGTTCTTGTTATTGAAGTTGAATTTGGTGAAGGCTCCCTCGTGACTAATCTCATTTTGTCGGTCTGGGGCTCCGCGCATACATGTCTGAACCTCGATTATGTTGTGATCTGAGTACATTGTTTTTGATATGGTGACATTTCGTATCAGATCATCATTGTTAGTGAAGATGAGGATATCATCCCAGCTTGTTTCATTTAAGACATGGTTAACTTGATCCCATTGTATATTTTTGTTATTGAAATTGAATTTCATGAAGGGACCTTCATGACTGCTCACATTTTGCTGGTCCAGAGCCCTGTGCATACATGTCTGTACCTCTATTATATTATGATCTGAGTGAATTGTCTTTGATACAGTTATATTACGTATCAGATCATCATTGTTAGTGAAGATGAGGTCCAGCGTATTTTCTAGTCTTGTAGGCTCTACTATTTGTTGGTTTAAGGTGAATTTGGTGCAGAGATTTAATAGTTCGTGTGTGTGTGAATTTTCATCTGAGCTGCCTCCCGGGGTGATCTCTGCTACAACACTGTTTGCTATACTCCTCCATTTTAGGTGTCTCAGGTTGAAATCTCCTAGTAGTAAGATGTTTGGGGCAGGAGTTGGGAAATTTTCCAGACAGTGATCAATTTTCTCAAGCTGCTCCTGGAATTGCTGGAAAGTTGCATCTGAAGGCTTGTATACTGACACAATGAAAGGGTTTTGGTTTTTGATCTTTACCTCCAAAACTTCAACTACATCATTTGAGGTGTTTAGTTGTTCTGTGCAAATGAGCAACTCTGTGACATACAGGCCATAGTGGCCTGGTGGCTAAAGCTCCCGCTTCACACACGGAGGGCCCGGGTTCGATTCCCGGCGGGTGGAAACATTTCGACACGTTTCCTTACACTATTGTCCTGTTCACCTAGCAGCAAATAGGTACCTGGGTGTTAGTCGACTGGTGTGGGTCGCATCCTGGGGGACAAGATTAAGGACCCCAATGGAAATAAGTTGGACAGTCCTCGATGACGCACTGACTTTCTTGGGTTATCCTGGGTGGCTAACCCTCCGGGGTTAAAAATCCGAACGAAATCTTATCTTAACCCCCTTGTTGCCTGTTTAGTCTGTCACATCGGAATAGGCTATACCCTGGAATCCATATTTCATTGTCATAATGATCCTTTATGTGGGTCATTGTGAATGCTGCAAACATTGCATTTGACTCCATGAGCAGTCTCTTGATGTAAGGAATTTTGTTGTTTTTTGACGACTTTAGACCCTGTATGCTTGCAAAGATGTATCGTATTAGTGGAATTTAAGGGGCTTTTATTTGCTGGGGTCAAACAGCACCTGGGGAATGGGAAGCATTCCAGTTCAATTCGAGTAAGAAGGGAGATCCAATTCTTTGGATCATGAGCATCTCACCAGTTTCAAGGAACCTCCCTTAAGGGGGTTCATGATGAGCACAGGTTGTATTTAACAGTGTACGATAATGTCAAGAGTTCTGCCGAGTAGTTGTCAGTAACTGTAGCCCAAATTCAAGTTTCAACACTATCAAATGAAGCATTATTGTATTGTATTGATGTGCGAGTGTCAGCTTCTACTCTAACATTATTATGACATTAGGGGTGATAGTACCAATAAATTAATTGAAACAAACACTACTGGCTTGGTATTAACCACAAGCCGGGCTTGGTCACCACCCAAGCCTGGCTTGTGGTGACCGGGCTTAGTCACCACCCAGCCTGGCTTGTGGTGACCGGGCTTGGTCACCACCCAAGCCTGGCTTGTGGTGACGGGCTTGGTCACCACCCAAGCCTGGCTTGTGGTGACCGGGCTTAGTCACCACCCAGCCTGGCTTGTGGTGACCGGGCTTAGTCACCACCCAGCCTGGCTTGTGGTGACCGGGCTTGGTCACCACCCAGCCTGGCTTGTGGTGACCGGGCTTGGTCACCACCCAAGCCTGGCTTGTGGTGACCGGGCTTAGTCACCACCCAAGCCTGGCTTGTGGTGACCGGGCTTAGTCACCACCCAGCCTGGCTTGTGGTGACCGGGCTTAGTCACCACCCAGCCTGGCTTGTGGTGACCGGGCTTGGTCACCACCCAGCCTGGCTTGTGGTGACCGGGCTTGGTCACCACCCAGCCTGGCTTGTGGTGACCGGGCTTAGTCACCACCCAAGCCTGGCTTGTGGTGACCGGGCTTAGTCACCACCCAGCCTGGCTTGTGGTGACCGGGCTTGGTCACCACCCAGCCTGGCTTGTGGTGACCAGGCTTAGTCACCACCCAAGCCTGGCTTGTGGTGACTGGGCTTAGTCACCACCCAGCCTGGCTTGTGGTGACCGGGCTTAGTCACCACCCAAGCCTGGCTTGTGGAGACTAGGCTTGGTCACCACCCAGCCTGGCTTGTGGAGACTAGGCTTGGTCACCACCCAGCCTGGCTTGTGGAGACTAGGCTTGGTCACCACCCAGCCTGGCTTGTGGAGACTAGGCTTGGTCACCACCCAGCCTGGCTTGTGGAGACTAGGCTTGGTCACCACCCAGCCTGGCTTGTGGAGACTAGGCTTGGTCACCACCCAGCCTGGCTTGTGGAGACTAGGCTTGGTCACCACCCAGCCTGGCTTGTGGAGACTAGGCTTGGTCACCACCCAGCCTGGCTTGTGGAGACTAGGCTTGGTCACCACCCAGCCTGGCTTGTGGAGACTAGGCTTGGTCACCACCCAGCCTGGCTTGTGGAGACTAGGCTTGGTCACCACCCAGCCTGGCTTGTGGAGACTAGGCTTGGTCACCACCAAGCCTGGCTCGTGGTGACCAGGCTTGGTCACCACCCAGCCTGGCCCATCATAACTACTGTGATATAAGCCTCAGTAATGTACTCTGACGTACTTACCTTCAAAAGCTGCCATTGTGTTGTACTTGTGTGTAAGTGGTGACGAGGTGCAGCTGGTGTAGTAGATGGTGTTGCAGCTGGTGTAATAGATGGTGTTGCAGCTGGTGACAACAGCAGTGACACACACACTGCTACAATATATATCTCCTGTGCATCTCTAAGTGTCACCTCTCTGTAATAATTTTTTCAGTTATATCTATTACTTAATTATCTATTATACAAGTTTTACATAGATCTACTCGTGTATTTAATATAATTATAGAGTGAATGTTCTAGTTCTGCCCCACTAAGACATCTGTATTATTATCAAGTTTATTTCCAAAAACAAAAATAGATGAAAATTAGAGTAATATTAATTTTAAAATTCCTACAATTGGTTTTATGAAAGAGTATGTGTATAAACAAGTGGGAAATTAGAGACAGACAGACAACTATGAATGCTGGTGGCGGCGCCATATTTTGAAAGTGATTTTATCTACTTACCTCACTGGACGTCTAAATTGCTCATTATCTTATAAATTGTTCATGATTGTAACCATGTATAAACGTAAGTTAGTAAATTTATTGACCATAAACTCATTGCTTCAAAATTAGTTGCTTAAATTTCGTTGTATTAAAGGATACTAAATTATAAAAATTTCATATTGTAAGTTGTTTTAAATTGTTTCATTGTAATATTTCCATATTGTAAATTAATCCAGATTGTACCAACCGGGCTGTGGTTCGTACGTCAGCTTGCGTGCGGCAAGCAGTAACAGCCTGGTTGATCAGACCCTGATCCACCATGAGGCCTGGTCTCAGTCCGGGTCGCGGGGGCGTTGACCCCCGACACACTCTCCAGGTCCAAGTACAAACTAATTTTGAAACTGTATTTACTGTACTCACAGTAACTCATCAATGTCCATATAATTATCTGTTATTGCCTTAGTAATCTTAAGTTAATATTAAGTTTGCCTGAAAAACTCTCCATACAATGGGACTTTTGGCATGTACAACCAACTATTACGTTCTTTTGCATAGCCATGTATCATGTCAAAATTCTTCTTATCACAACTTTGGGATCCAGTCCCAGGACCCACTATGTATCTCTGTAATCTTTGGACTACCATCCACAGGATGGGTGTGGTGTGACTACCACCCACAGGATGGTTATGGTGTGACTACCACCCACAGGATGGGAATGGTGTGACTACCACCCACAGGATGGGTATGGGGTGACTACCACCCACAGGATGGGTATGGAGTGATTACCACCCACAGGATGGGTATGGCGTGACTACCACCCACAGGATGAGTATGGTGTGACTACCACCCACAGGATGGGTATGTGGTGACTACCACCCACAGGATGGGTATGGTGTGACTACCACCCACAGGATGGGTATGGTGTGACTACCACCCACAGGATGGGTATGGGGTGACTACCACCCACAGGATGGGTATGGTGTGACTACCACCCACAGGATGGGTATGGTGTGACTACCACCCACAGGATGGATATGGTGTGACTACCACTCACAGGATGGGTAATGTCGGAAATCTGGCATACATTTATGGAGTTTTGAGATTCATTCATGATGAAATCATTTGGGTCGTCGATCCTCAGACTGATTAGTGCTTCACTAAACACAGAGTCGTACTGGGATTTCAATATTTCACTCATTTCCTTGTCATGTGTGTAAGTCCCATCCTGTCTGAGTAAGGGCCCGATACTAGATGTGATATTTGCCTTGTTCTTGGCATATGAAAAGAATTATTTTGAATTTCTTTCAATTTTACTAATAGCTTTAAGCTCCTCCTTTCTCTCCTGTTTCCTGTAAGTCATTTAACTTAAGTTCGATAGTTTCCACTTCCCTGGTCAGCGCCTCCTTTTGTGTATCAGATACTCTAGCACTCCTGACGAGCTCAGTGACTCTTCGTCGTCTTCTGTAGTGGGAGCGTCTTTCTCTCTTCAGTTTACTCCTGCTCTTCTTCTTTCTTAGGGGAATATGCCTAGAACATGCTTCAGCTGCCAGGAAGTTGATCCTTTCAAGGCACTGGTTTGGATCCCACAGGATGGGTATGGTGACTACCACCCACAGGATGGGTATGGTGACTACCACCCACAGGATGGGTATGGTGACTACAACCCACAGGATGGGTATGGTGACTACCACCCACAGGATGGGTATTACCTGGAGTTTACCTGGAGAGAGTTCCGGGGGTCAACGCCCCCGCGGCCCGGTCTGTGACCAGGCCTCCTGGTGGATCAGAGCCTGATCAACCAGGCTGTTGCTGCTGGCTGCACGCAAACCAACGTACGAGCCACAGCCTGGCTGGTCAGGAACCGACTTTAGGTGCTTGTCCAGTGCCAGCTTGAAGACTGCCAGGGGTCTCTTGGTAATCCCCCTTATGTATGCTGGGAGGCAGTTGAACAGTCTCGGGCCCCTGACACTTATTGTATGGTCTCTTAACGTGCTAGTGACACCCCTGCTTTTCATTGGAGGATGGTGCATCGTCTGCCAAGTCTTTTGCTTTCGTAGCGAGTGATTTTCGTGTGCAAGTTCGGTACTAGTCCCTCTAGGATTTTCCAGGTGTATATAATCATGTATCTCTTCCGCCTGCATTCCAGGGAATACAGGTTTAGGAACCTCAAGCGCTCCCAGTAATTGAGGTGTTTTATCTCCATTATGCGCGCCGTGAAGGTTCTCTGTACATTTTCTAGGTCAGCAATTTCACCTGCCTTGAAAGGTGCTGTTAGTGTGCAGCAATATTCGAGCCTAGATAGAACAAGTGACCTGAAGAGTGTCATCATGGGCTTGGCCTCCTAGTTTTGAAGGTTCTCATTATCCATCCTGTCATTTTTCTAGCAGATGCGATTGATACAATGTTATGGTCCTTGAAGGTGAGATCCTCCGACATGATCACTCCCAGGTCTTTGACGTTGGTGTTTCGCTCTATTTTGTGGCCAGAATTTGTTTTTGTACTCTGATGAAGATTTAATTTCCTGTGTTTACCATTTCTGAGTATTGAAATTTCTCATCGTTGAACTTCATATTGTTTTTTTGCAGCCCACTGAAAGATTTGGTTGATGCCCGCCTGGAGCCTTGCAGTGTCTGCAATGGAAGACACTGTCATGCAGATTCGGGTGTCATTGCAAAGGAAGAATGGTGTGAGGCTGACTTCCTTGTCTATGTCGGATATTGAGGATGAGGAACAAGATGGGAGCGGGGTACTGTGCCTTGTGGAACAGAGCTTTTCACCGTAGCTGCCTCGGACTTTATTTGTTGACGACTACTCTCTGTGTTCTGTTAATGAGGAAATTTAGATCCATCGACCGACTTTTCCCTTTTATTCCTTTAGCCACGCATTTTGTGCGCTATTACGCCATGGTCACACTGTCGTAGGCTTTTCCCAAAGTCTGTACTTATTACATCTGCATTCTTTTGTCTTCTAGTGCATTCAGGACCTTGTCGTAGTGATCCAATATTTTGAGACAGACAGGAGCGACCTGTTCTAAAACCCATGTTGCCCTGGGTTGTGTAACTGATGGGTTTCTAGATGGGTGGTGATCTTGCTTCTTAGGACCCTTTCAAAGATTTTTATGATATGGGATGTTAGTGCTATTGGTCTGTAGTTCTTTGCTGTTGCTTTACTGCCCCCTTTGTGGAGTGGGGCTATGTCTTTTGTTTTTAGTAACTGTGGGACGACCCCCGTGTCCATGCTCCCTCTCCATAGGATGGAAAAGGCTCGTGATAGGGGCTTCTTGCAGTTCTTGATGAACACGGAGTTCCATGGTGACTACCACCCACAGGATGGGTATGGTGACTACCACCCACAGGATGGGTATGGCGACTACCACCCACAGGGTGGGTATGGTGACTACCACCCACAGGATGGGTATGGTGACTACCACCCACAGGATGGGTATGGTGACTACCACCCACAGGATGGGTATGGTGACTACCACCCACAGGATGGGTATGGTGACTACCACCCACAGGATGGGTATGGTGACTACAACCCACAGGATAGGTATGGTGAATACCACCCACAGGATGGGTATGGTGACTACCACCCACAGGATGGGTATGGTGACAACCACCCACAGGATGGGTATGGTGACTACCACCCACAGGATGGGTATGGTGTGACTACCACCCACAGGATGGGTATGGTGACTACCACCCACAGGATGGGTATGGTGTGACCACCCACAGGATGGGTATGGTGACTACCATCCACAGGATGGGTATGGTGTGACTACCACCCACAGGATGAGTATGGTGACAACCACCCACAGAAGGGGTATGGGGGCCTACCACCCCAATGGGTATGGTGGACTACCACCCACAGGTGGGTATGGTGTGACTACCACCACAGGAGGGTATGGTGACAACCACCCACAGGTGGGTATGGTGTGGCTACCCCCAAGGAGGGGGTTTATGGTTGGGGACTACCCCCCACGGGTTTTGGGTAGGTGTATACCCCCCACAGGAGGGTAGGTGACCCCCCCTACAGGATGGGTAGGGTGGTGACTCCACCCACAGGATGGGTATGGTGTGATACCACCCACAGGATGGGAGGTGTGACTACCCCCCACAGGAGGATATGGTGGACTCCCACCACGGATGAGTATGGTGTGACAACCCCCTACAGGATGGATATGGTGTGACTACCACTCACAGGAGGGTAATGTCGGAAATTGGCATACTTTTATGGAGTTTTGGGTTTCATTCATGATGAAATCTTTGGGTCGTCGATCCCAGACTGTTTATGCTTCACTAAACCAGAGTGACGGGGTTTTTAAATTATTTCATCTTTTCCTTGTCATGTGTGAAGCCCCATCCTTTTGGGAAAAAAGGGCCCCGATAAGATGTTTTTATTTGCCTTGTTTTGGCATATAAAAGATTTTTTTTGAATTTTTTTCAATTTTACAAATAGCTTTAAGCCCCTCCTTTCTCCCCTGTTTCTTAAGTATTTAACTTAAGTTCGTTTTTTTCCACTTCCTGGTCAGCGCCTCCTTTGTGTTCAAACCTAGCACTCCTGACGAGCTCAGTACTCTTGTCGTTTCTATAGTGGGAGCGTCTTTTTCCCCTTTAGTTTATCCTGCTCTTTTTCTTTCTTAGGGGAAAAATGCCTAAAAATGCTTCACTCCAGGGGTTTTATCCCTTTTAAGG